TTGAGACAAACCGAAGAATAAATTATAGAATACAACAAAACAATTAATGAAATTAGATGCTACAGACTAAACCAAGCAGCACACTACCATTATACATTAACAACAAAATATAAATACTGGTACATTTCTTGATAACTATACTTATTTTCTAAAAAGCAAAAATTGATCTAGGCATGCTTGAAGAATTCCTGTCAGTGATGTAATCTGGCTATTAGCAGAAGATGCCATCAGTCATAAAACTGCAGATTAATGTGTGTTTTTCAAACACGGGTCGACCAGCTAACTATCAGCATTTGGCTTCCTTCCCACTGGCATAAAAAGCTGGTCTAATTCCTCGCTGGCCTCTGTTCCCCTGCAGCTGCATGACATCATCAAGCCGGGTTAGCATTAATGATGCCACCACTTTAACAGAAATCAGGAAAGAAAACAATGGAGAGCAACATGTAGGGAAGGACGGCGTGGTGGGTGTGCTTTATTGTTTTGCTCTTTTATCTGTCTGAATCCCTTTCACCAGAGCTGCTCCATGTTTATCGAATGTAAACAGAGTTGATTCAGCTTGTTAGATCAGAAGCAACTGCCCCGGTGTGTTGATGTCTTTACTTTGTGTTCAATGGTGTCATGTAATTTATCAGATCATCCTCTGGCTCTGGTGTTCTGCTGATCAGAGCCAAGGTGAATTTAACGTTGGTTGCTTGCCGAATCGTTTGACCCAGGTAGAAATGCGTCAGTGAGCTGTTTCCACTGCCACTAAAAGCTGATTATTCAAAGCATTAAATGGGTTTTTCGGCCAGAAGGAAAAGGAGTAATAGTTTTAATCTGGACAATAACAGGCAACTGCATCATTAGAAATTGTTGGCAATATGACCTGTCTTCTAAAAGACAGAGCTGAACAGATCCGGGCAAACGTATACCAGCCCATTTTTCTTTCATTTTGATTACCTTTTCCCAAAAAGGATGAACAAAAGGGCAGCATTTGCATGAATGAAACTACCCAACTATTATTCCTGCATTTCCACCCCACTGTTCTCCAGTGAACCTATTTTAAATAGGTGATTAGGTATAAGGCTTTCAGAGATGTCTGCTATACTGTTACCAACAGCTCACCTCACCAGCAGTCAGCTGACAAAGTAGCAAAGACTCAGCTCGTAGATCAGGCGCTAGCAAGGCATACGGCATACACTGTATGCCCTTAACTAAAAATATTAGAAATTGTACATCCTTTTTTTGGGATGTTTTTTACGACCAAATTTTTCCATGAAAACTTTGCTCAAATGTTAAAAATTTCACAAGCAGCAGATGCTGGTTTTGTTGCTCGACACGTCACATCAACCAATCAGAGAAGCTGATCAGGGAGCTGGCAGGGAGACAGACACAGTGCTGCGGATGCAGAGCGCTATGATCACTCCTCTGAAACAGTTTATTAATGCCTAAATCAACTTAAAAAGTTGAAACCTGCCGGCAAAATATGTTTGATTTTATTATTCTGGTGCCTGCAGTTTGTACCACATACCTGAAAAATACACTTTCTGATCGTTTGAATTAACCTATGAAACATACTATTGTAGCTTATAATGATCTCATGTCTTCATTATGAGATTTCAACCTCTAGTCAAGCACATATTCTACCCATAATCAGGACAAAGGTAGGATTGAATAAAGACAAAATGTTAGCTGCATTCCACCTCAAAATGCAGGAAATAATCCAAGGGAGGACACCCTGAACCCCCAATGCGGCGCAAAGCCTAAAGATGTGATAAGCCAAGGTTTACAACCTATGAAATCT